AAATTTTTAGTAATTATTTCTTTAAATATGTTTTCTGTTCCTCTTTTCTGGGTCTCTGATTATATGTATATTATGCAGTTTGATGTTGTCCCTCAGTTCACTGATGCTCTGTTTATTTTTTATCAGACTTTTTCTTGGTGTTACATTTTTAATTGTTTCTATTGCTATGACTTTCGGTTTTTAAAGTCTTTTCTTGTAGAGAGTCTAATAATACGTTATAATCTCATCTAGTACGTTTTTCAACCTATAGAATTTGATTAGGTATTTTGTTATGTCCTCCATATCTCTCCTTATCGTGTACACTCATTCCTCTACATTCTTGAACACACAGAGTATATTTATCATTATGTTTTAATGTTCTTGTCCACTTAATTCTATCATCTGTGTCATTTCTGAATTTGTTTCAATAAATTTACTTTTCTCTTCATTAAAGGTTATATTTTCCTGTCTCTTTGCATGCCTTGGCTCACGGGCCCAGCCACTCCGCGGCATGTGGGATCTTCCCGGACCGGGGCACGAACCCTTGTCCCCTGCATCGGCAGGCAGACTCTCAACCACTGCGCCACCAGGGAAAACCTTGTTTTCCCCTTGGCCTTCGGGAAATCACTCTCATCACTCTCTTCCTACCTCACCGGCAGCTCCTCCTCAGTCTCTTTTGCTATAGCTCCTCCTCATCTTCCTGACTTTTTTACCCATACTTACTACCTAGGTGGTCCACCAAATCCATGGCTTGAAATACCATTTATATTTTGATGATTTCCAACTTTACATCCCTATTTCCACCCCTTATCCTGCATTTAACTCCTCTCTTCAACTGCCTACTTATTATACATCTCCACTGCATATTCAATAGATATAATTAAACAAGTCTCAAACTAAACTGATCTTCCGCCTCAAATCCATGTACCCTGTAGTCTTCTCCTTCTCCATAAATGGCATCGCCACGCTACCAGTTATTCAGGTAAAAATATTGGGGCTAGCCTTTGCTCCTGTCACATTCACATGCAGTCCATCAGCAAATTCTGTCAGCTGCACCTTCAAGTCCAATAATTTATTACCACCTCTACCAGTATGCAGTAGTCTCAACTGCCACCAAATTCTCCAACAGCTTCTTATTCCACATAGAGTAGGCTCAAAGTCTTTGCTATGGCTCACAAGGCCGTTCACGATTAGTCATCCTTGCTAATTCTCTGACTTCATCTCCTACTCCTCCACGCTCACTCTGATTCTACCACGCTTACCCTCTTGCACATTCCCTCCTTGTTCACCTGCACCTACTATTTCCTCTTTCCAGAGCACTTTTTCCTCAGCTATCCCCATGGCTTACTCCATCACTTCATTTGGGTCTCTACTCACATGTCACCTTACCAAAGAGACTGTATCAACTTTCCTGCCTTATTCATCTGTAAACATTTATAACCACTTGCCAAGTTGTTGATTAAGTAATTATCTATTTCAGCCCCACCTCCCACCCCCACTAGAATGTACCATGGCAGCATGACTGAGAATTACTACCATTGGCTATATAATAAATTATTTTAAAAAACAAACAGTAGCAGAGGGGAGTGATCAACAGGATCCAGTGCATTAGAGAAGTCCAAACTGGTAAGTACTGGAAAACGTCTACTGGACTGGGCAGCTGGAAGGACTAGCAACATTGAGAGCAGTTTGTGCAGGTTGTTGTTGGCTGGAGGCACCAGACTGCAGTGGGTTGAAGACGTCCTTTCCTTCACAGTCTCCTAGTTCTTCCCTCAAAAAACTCTTCCTCGCCCTTCACAGCTCTCAGTCCTAATAGTCACACGGTCATACCTGTGTATGAAACACTCGCCATGGGGCATTGTCAGTCCCTGCTCTCCAGCAGGGCACAGTCTGGTGGAGGAGGGCCCAGGGAGCTCCCAATCAGATGGGGTGTGTGTGTGTGTGTGTGTGTGTATGCAGAAATAATAATCATTAAAAAACAACAAATGTAAAAAAGCAAATCAGGAAGACACCTAAAGTCAAATGAATGCATGCTAAAGGGATGCCCGAGAGAAGAGGTTGACTCCGGAAGGAAGGCAGGGACACCCCTGCTGGCTCTGCAACACCAGGACCAACTGGGACATGAAGTCCGTAATTCATAGCCGATCAATCCTGGAGGGCCCAGTGCTTTGATCCCTTTGGAAACTGCTCTCTTCTCTGACAGCTGAGCCCTTCTCCTCGGAGGCCTAGGGCAGGAAGGTTTCTCTGTGAGATGTACTCTGGTGCCCCGCAGCCAGGATGATGGACGAGGAGGCAAGAGAGCTGCTCAGGGCGGCTGAGACCAGTGGGGCTGAGCAGGGAGAGAAATATGGCAGCGACACAGCTCTGTGTGTAGAGAATGATGAAGGCTCAAAGGCTGAACCCTGGGGAGCACCAAGTTTAGCAAGGGGAGTGCATGAAGAAAGCAGAGAAGGGCTGTCAGAAAAAGATGGAGAAAACAAGAAATGCGAAGACAGTTTCACCATGAGAGAGGGAACGCCAAGAGTGACTGCTGAATGCTCCACAGAGGTGCCTGCTGTAAGGCCTGGAAACACCTCCTTTAGATTTGATCATTAGGAGATCTCTGGGGAAATTGGGGAGAGCAGGATCAATGGGCTGAGCAGCAAATGGAAAGTGAGGAAGGGTCAGTGGGGTGCCAGATTTAGCAAATAAAAATAGAGGATACCCAGTTAAATTTGAATTTATCTGAAATTTGAATTTAAGATAAACAATGAATAATATTTTTAGTATTACTAGAATAAACCAATTATTCGTGGCTTATCTGGAATTCACATTTAACTGGGCATTCTGTACTTTGTGTAGTAATCCTAACAGGGTGGCATGTGGACTTCTCTCTCAAGCAACGTGGCTGGGAATAAAAGATGAGTACCAGGGCCATAGATGGAAGGGGACCCAGGTCAACGGAAAATTATGTCTAGATGGGATTGTCTGAGCGCGTAGAGCAGACAACAACACTTCCTGTGGTCTGTTTGTAGGCTGAAGGGAAACAGCCCATAGTGGGAAAGGCTAAGGACACAGTTGAGGGAGTAATTGATTATGTAAACCATGGGCCTCTAGCCAGGGTGAGAAATCACTTCCCACCCATAAAAAGCAGACAGTCCCTCCCCAGCCCTCCATCCCACGAAAAGTTCAGGAAACACAAGTTTCCAATTTTAATTTGCAAGTTGTTTGCTGCTACTTTGAAACTACAGGATTGTGGGTTTAATATGGAATCTTTCCAGTAAAAATCTTTTTATTTCGTTCTTTTTCTTGGTGTTTTAATGGACCACCATAGTTGCAAACATTTTTCTAAATAGATGAATCCACTTTGTCAACTTTGTGTCTCAAAATCCCATCACCAGAGCAAATCATTTTTAATGGCTAGATTCCATTACCAGTTCAGGCCACAAGCCTGAGTTTTTGAAGCAAATTAATCAGATTAGTGCTGTAACCCAGCTCCTCCCTCCTCTTTTTCTCTATTTTAAATCTTACTGTGAACGGTGAATTTGTCAAAGCCCCTTTTGATGATGAAAGATTGATAGCATTGGAGTCACCACATGATATATTCAACAGCTGTTTTTCTTCCTCATTACACCCTATTCCAGGGTCACATCTGGTTTGAAAAACTGGAAAAATGATGTCTTTTTGTTTATTTTTGTTCATTTTCCTCTAATTCCTTAGATTTCTGCCAGATTGGTAGCCTTCGTGACTCTTTTGTTTCTATGCTTGTGAGACAGAAAGGAAAAAGCACCCCCCTTTCCTCAACTCCTAACCCTAAGTCTGTCTGGTCTTAGCCCAGTCCACAAAGGCTAATTCTTTGCTGGGTTTTAGGCATGTGGGCCTCACAGCAGAAGCAGCACTGTGGCTTCCACTGCCTTTCCTAAGAATGTCCCTGGCTGCTGTTGGGACGTTAGCAATGTCCCTCCTTCATAAGGGTCTCTGAGACTTTTAGTAAGGAAAAAATAAATAAATAGATAACAACATTGGGATACACAAATTCCTTTTTTCCCAAATTACTTGTTCTATATTAGCTTCAAAATAAGTGTTCACCAGCTTTGTGTTAAAGAAAGCACCAGTGGACTGCCCACAGTACTGCTTGTTCTGTTTCTGGTCAGCTCCAGGCATCAGCAGAATCCATGTAAGTGGAGAACAATTGCTTTGAACAGATATCCTCAAGATAATCCATAATTTTTCCTTTTGCTTCCTCTCTCTTAGTACTCTGATTAGAGGTTGGTCGTCTTTGACACCTGGAATTCAAGACTGGGTCGGGGGAGGTTATGTTTGGGACCTGATCTCAAATGAAATATCTCTACGCAGTTAATGAGTAATTTAAGACTTTTTCTATGGTGCTTATCCCAAAAAGTAGACAAGTGCAGAGAGGGCTGGAGTTAAGCTGGGGCCAGGACAGGACATGAAAGGGAAATTTCTTTATGGATCAAAATATTTGCAGAGTTTCAAGCAGGCGTGGTACCAACAGGCCCCTCTGTTGACTGCTTCCTTCTGCTAAGCTCACCAGGGCATCAGGGTGGAGTGGCTCAGTATCAGGGACGATGTCTCCTGGAACATGTGGCCTAAATCACCTTATCTGAAGGTTGAAGCTCTCAAACTGTTCAAGCCAGAAAGGACTTTGGAGTCCCTGTAGCCCAGGGTCTGCCCGACTTTTAATTTCATGGTCTGTTAGGACTTGGGAGGGAAATAGTTTAAACAATAACAGGTTGTCAATTTTTATTTTGCTTATTGAACAAATAAAATATTCATCTTCTGTCATCATTTCAAAAAAAGGCACTTTAACATAAAAATATGAAAGACTTATTCTTACTCTTAACATAAAGGTTTTATCCCAGTTCTTTCCCAGAAGGTCAGTGTCAAGCTTACACCAACGTTACACAAATATATTAGAATACGTGTGTGGACGTGCATGCATCCAAATGCACACATGGTTATCATCATGGCACAAAGGAAACACCTGGTAAATAACAGTCATTATTATTATATTTCCACAGACCAGGAAGTCTTCATAAACTGGCCTCTGAGAACTGCAGATAGAGCAACCCTTTCCTCTTCCAGGTAAGGAAAAACTGGTCTAGAGTAGACGTGACTTGTCCAGCTAAGGTCCATGACCAGTTACTGAACATACTGAATAACTTGAGTAGAACTCAAGTTTCTTGACCAAGTATGATGTATCTCTGAAGTTTCCTAGAAAAAATTGAATTTGGCAAATGGCTGGAATCATTGGGCATCTGTCCAGTGTCTGGAGGGATGGGCAGGGAGCTAGCACTTTAGTGGGGCACAATGAGGTCGGTCAAGAGCCACCAGGAGGTCTGGCTACTGCTGCCTTCCTTTCCAACCCCAGAGAAAAATGAAAACAGGAGTAGGTTACCGCCTGGGGGTGAGGGGTGAGGGAGTCCCCACGTGAGGCAAGAGGAGGTGAGTAGCTGCGCTTTGCAAATCTTCCTCTTTCTGCCTTCAGTCCCAACACAGAACACCTGCTGAGCCTCTCAGGTCCCGCCTCTCACAACTCCGCTGGGGGTGCCCCCCTCTGCTGCATGAGGTCCTGCCCTCCCAGTCACCAGTCACAGGAAGATGCCCCAACACTATGACTTGTTTTTGCTGTTGTGATTTGGGGGCTATTCTTCATTTCCTAAGCCTTGGTGAGGGCCACTGGTTCAGGTAGGACTGTGTTTAGTGGCTGGTAACACACCCATGTCAGTGAGGCTGCTTTTCGATTTGACGTAGCAAGAAACCAGGTTGCCTGAGGCAGGCTCCTTCAGCCTCTCTGCTCCATCATCCTTTGCTTATGACTTTCATCCTCATGATTGCCTCCTGATCACATGTTCCAGGCAGGAAGAAGAAAAAAGACAATGATAAAAAAGGAAGGGGTGGGCCTATATCAGGAAATCCAACCTTTCTCACAAAAGCTCCAGTAGCTTCTGCAGATGCCTCATTGGTCAGAGCTATGTCAGAGCTCCTAGGTCCAAGGGAGGCCGGGAAATATGTTGTGTCTAGGCAACAAATTGTGATATATTAGTAAGGAAAGAATGGATAATTGGTAAGAAACATTGTCTGCCAGGAAGGCATATGAGTAAAATTGAGCCTCTTTGTTTCCCTTTATCTCTAAAGTCTACTTCACCAGGTCACGTTTGAAGGAACTGTTAGTCCAGATCCAGAAACCTTGACATCTATATGGGTCTTCACTGAAACCTCCATGCACATGTGCAGTAGATCACATGGCACACCTAGCCAACCTTTTCTACAAGCCTCTTTATGCTATTATCTACCTCCTCTCAGTACTGCTCCAATCTCCCTCTCTTGCTAAACAAAGTAAAACAGGTCTCTCTTCACTCACACCTCTGACCTCCTGTCCTATGTTTCCATGTTTTCCTTCACTGGTCTCTGTGCCCTTTCTTGTGGAAATTGATTTGGTCTCTGGGCTTTTACAAGTCTAGGCCTCTACCCATCACCCCTATAAGCACAACCATGGCTGAAAACAAAGAATCTGGGAGATTACATTGGGGCCTGTAACACATCCTTTTATATTTCCCCAGCTACCGAGGTGATGAGTGAACCCATGTAAACTCCAGCCCTGCTTACACATACCACATCTGTAGACACCTGTCAGGGCCAGTGAGCCCCTCTCTGCTGCCACGGAGACCCGGCCGCAGCCTTCCCGCTCAGCCTCTGGCTCTCCTTGCACTCTGTTTTAGTCCAAATTTTCCCTCTCCACGTTCATACCCATCCTATTGGATTCAGCCCAATAGTTTTCATTTACTCCTTCGAAGGCCTACTTAAGATAGACTCTGAGAAGACTCTCTCAGTTAACCTCGCCTGCCTCCAAGCCAGCCAGTCCACGGTGCTACTCTGAAAGTAAGCCCCTGTTTTATATTATTTTTATTTGACTTGGTATTCAACTTTTGGATCTCATGTCTGTTTTCTTTATAGCTGTTTTCTCTCCACCATTAGGCTGTGAGCAACCTGAGGGTAAGGGTAGGGCCTGGGTCTCCCATCAGCCCCTCAGAACAAGGGTTACTCTTTTTTTTCTAGCTGGTGTGTTTTGGGCACCTTCCATGTGTCAGACACTGAGGGAGGTGCTAAGGATATAAGGCAGATGCAGTCCCCAGCTTCCCTCTTCTGGTCCTTTTCCTACCCCCAGGATGGTGCTCTGTTGATCCATCTGACTGACCACTGTCATGATGGAGATGAGGGAGGACATTGGGATTCAGCCCCCAGAGATGAGCCCCATCACTGTCTTCCTGGACTCCAAGTTCATACCACTCTGGCAGCTCCTCTGAAAAGTCCCCAGGTCTCCTCCCAGTATCCCGGCTTCCGGTGTTACTGTGTTGGCTCTGCCTGCCTGCCTACAGCACAGCCAGGGACTGAAGGAGCATTTATCCCAAATGACGGCAGTCAGCTGAATTTCCAAGTAACAGATTTTTTCCACTTCAATTTTTCTCTTTTGCCCAAATAACGCATTCATTTTGTGGAAAAGGGATGAGGCAGTTCTTCTAAGGGTTAAAGATTTTATGAGGAATACCTGGGGGATGGGCAGGGCTCAGCCAAAGCCCTTCTCCTGTTGGGAGGGAAGGCAAGAGGAAGCAATGGAGAGGGCTCTCCAGCCCCCAAGGATGACCGAGGGGATGAGGTCAAGCCAGGGGGCCGAGCCTTTTCTCCTCCCACCCGATTCTCCACCCACCGTCCCTTCATCTCTTTCCCTTTTTTTGTCTTCTTCTCTTTCTCTCTTCTTTCCTGTTTTCTTCTGTCCCTCTCCTTCTTTGTTCATGAATTCATTCATTCATGCATTCCCTCAGTGGGCATTGCTTTAGCAGGTGCTGTATGTCAAACACTGTGCTATAAGCTAAAAATACAGAGTAAAAAAGTCAAGGCTCAAGGCTTTTACGGTCTAGGGCCTGTGGAGGGTGGGGCACCCAGATGACAGGCTGGGGGGAGGAGTGACAATTGGCAAAGAGAGTTAACTGCTAAGTCTCCAAGTACATTCAGAGTCTTAGGCAGTACATCTAAAACAGGGAAAACTGGGATCAAGGAGACAGGACTCAGAGAACCTCTAGTGTGTATCCATGCCGCCTGGCTCATTCATCTCTCCTATCCTATCCTAGGCAGAGACATCTCAGTGATAAAGAACATGGACTGTGTGAGCAGGCTGCCCCCCATTCAAATCCCAGGTCTACCACTTTCTGTGATCATAACAAGTCACCTAATCTTTTATTTATTTATAACAGACTTTCTTTTTCTAGGGCCATTTTGGGTTCACAGCAAAATTCAGCAGAAAGTACAAAGAGTTCCCCATGTACAGCTGCCTCCCCCGCCAGGCACAGCCTCCCCTACTATCAACATCCTACACCAGAGCGGGGCGTCTGTTACAGTCGAGGAAACTACACTGACACATCATTATCACCCAAAGTCCATAGTTTACCTTCAGGTTCGCTCTCGGTGTTGTACATTCTATGGGTTTTGACAAGTGTGTAACGACATGTATCCACCAGTATACTGTCATTACAGAAATAGTTTCACTGCCCAAAAAACTCTCTGTGTTTGCCTTCCGTTGGTCTTCTTATTCTCAATTTCTTCTTCTTTGGGTGATCATGGGGATAACACGTGGTAATATATTGTACATGAGGGCCTTGCTTTAGGTGTGAGTTATTAGTATAATATTCCCATGAAAAGCCCAGAGGCCCTCCCCCAGTGAGCCCTGATCGTATTGCACGGTATTGGAGGAAGGAATGGACCAGGTGGCGAGGGGTGAACGCTCTCCGGAACAGTGAGATGACACGCTGCCTCAGCTGGTTGGGTGGTAGGCTACTTGGGGAGCAATAGTGGAAGGAGGATATGGAGACGCACAGGATTCCAAAGGGGCTCTGGACTGCTCTCTGCTCCCGAAGTAGCCCATCCAACTTTATCCAGGCAGTCCTCTGACTGCTCTTGGCAGGGGTTTAGAGAGCCTGCGTTGAGTCCGGTCCACGTGGCTGATGTGGAGAGGGAGGGAGGGCTCGTGCCCAGGCTGGGCCACGCTGGCTTTGGAGAAATTGTTCCTGAAAGTCCCTGGCAGGAAGAGGGCTGCTGTAGGCTGTTAATCTGCAATGCAAATCGACAAGTAAACAGTCTCCAATGAGAATCTCAGATGCCAGAGGCCGGGTTCATTGCAGAGACCCAGACACTCATCCTGGGCTCCAGGTGGGGGCCAGCTAGAGGGAGCCTGTGTATGAGCTGAGGCAGAGCTGCTGGCCTCTCGCCCCTCCCATATCCAGATAGGTATGTTGCCCAGGAGATCTCAGTCTCCTCCTGCCCCCAGACAGGCACAGGGAGAAGAAGACTTGACAGTACAGATGGCACAAATATATCACCTGTTGTTCAGATGGGAAAACTCATTCTAGGGTCTGCTTGGGCTGACTAGACAGAGCAAATGAACTGGACCCTGGTGCTAGAGACATGGGTGGGCTGCGTGGTGGGCTTGGGAGTACACGCTCAGTCTCCACCTCCGTTGGGTCTGTCACCAGGCAGGGGCACAGCCGGGTTTGGGGGGAAGCCAGGTGCTTGCTGTATATATACTCAGAATTTATTGGCCTGTGGTAAGCAGGGGTGGGGAGAGAGAAGATGGAATGGAACACATCTGGTGACCTGATGTTTTTGTTTTCCTACTCTTGCTTGGTTGAGGGCTTTTGCTGTGCTTGGGGCTGGAGGAAGAAGTCCGGAAAATGGGATGAGGCCCTAGAAGGGAAGATGGGGGCAGGGAGTGTACGTTACTTGGCTGGGCTCAGACAGGGAGAGCCAGTTTGAGCCTGGGAAGGCCTCTGCACCTTACAGAGTGGGAGGGAGCTCAGTTTCCTTGTGTGAAGATTCGATGAGGAAGAAAAGTATGATCACATGAACATTTAGCAGCATTTCCAACAAAGACAAACCCGGCAACCATATCCATACATAAACCCCAAGGAAGTACATAAACACATACACCTTCAAGTATAGTTGCAAACGCGGCCATCAACTGTACATACAATGAAAGCTCATACATCTTACTTACACGCATACTGCCTCTGAAACACAGGCAGCCATGTTCA